TCGCACAGTCCCCTCACTTATTCGTAAATATAGTGAAATATTAGCATTTGACATGTGTGGCCCATACTCCTGCCTTGATAAAAAGAAGATTTTCTATCTTTTCTTTAAAGAAATGTTCATTTTTTGATTAACTTATAAAATGATAATAGAATGGATATAAATGCTCCTATTTATATCAGATGATGAATACGACTAACCCGTTCAAAGAAAGCAAAAAAATAATAAAGGTCATTGTTGAGAGGCCGTAGCCGCTTATGGCGAGTACTGTAAGTCAAAAGAAAACAGCGATTGTCGAGAATTGATTAACAGTTGACTATTAATTTTATTTTAATCTTATTTATTTGAGATTTGTCTTACTTTCTTTGTAAATCAATGTTTTAATTTTTATTTAGATTGACTTTTTGTGATTTACGTAGCAAAGGTGAACATGCCGGTGAAAAATTAATTATCTTAGAACCTTATAAAATTCCAAATCGTGGTCCATATCCATTTAATAAACCTCGTCAAAATACTGTTCGTTTTACTCCAACACAAATTGAAGGTATTAAAGCTGGTATGCAACCAGGTCTTACACTTATTGTTGGTCCACCAGGTACAGGTAAGACTGATGTTGCTGTACAAATTATTTCAAATATTTATCATAATTATCCTGATCAACGTACATTAATTGTAACACATTCTAATCAAGCATTAAATCAATTATTTGAAAAAATAATGGCACTTGATGTTGATGAAAGACATTTACTTCGTCTTGGTCATGGTGAAGAAGAACTTGAAACAGATAAAGATTTTAGTCGTTATGGACGTGTTAATTATATATTAAAAAAACGTTTAGAATTACTTGAACAAGTTGAACGTTTACAAAAAAGTTTACAAGTAAAAGGTGATTTATCTTATACATGTGAAACAGCTGCACATTTTTATATGTATAATGTATTATCACGTTGGGAAGAATATTTAAGCAAAATAAATCAATCAAATAATAATTTAGATATATTAATAAATTTATTTCCATTTAAAGAATTTTTTTCGGATTTAAATCATGATTTATTTAATAATAACCAAACATTTGAAAATAATTTAGAAATAGCTCAAGGTTGTTTTCGTTATATACAACAATTATTTACACAATTAGAAGAATTTCGTTCATTTGAATTAATGCGTAATGGTTCGGATCGTGCAAAATATTTATTAGTACGTGAAGCAAAAATTATTGCTATGACTTGTACACATGCAGCATTAAAACGGCATGATCTTGTTCAATGTGGTTTTAAAGTAATAAAAAAATAAAAAAAAATAACTTTTTTTCAAATAGATTTCAATGTTCTTTATTTTTAGTATGATAATATATTAATGGAAGAAGCAGCACAAATACTTGAAATTGAAACATTTATACCATTATTATTACAAACATCAGATCAACAAGGACGAAATCGTTTAAAACGTTGTATTATGATTGGTGATCATCATCAATTACCACCAGTTATTAAAAATATGGCTTTTCAAAAATATTCAAATATGGAACAAGCTTTATTTACACGTTTAGTTCGTCTTGGTATACCAACTATTGATTTAGATGCACAAGGTCGTGCACGAGCATCACTTTGTTCATTATATAATTGGAGATATAAAAATTTGGGCAATTTAGAACATGTTTTACAGCAAAAAGAATTTAAAACAACAAATGCTGGTTTTGTTTATGATTATCAATTAATTAATGTAGAAAATTTTAATGATGTTGGCGAATCAGAACCAATTCCATATTTCTATCAGGTAAAAAGAATAAAATGTTTTTTTTTGTTGCAATAGATAGGAGATTTGAGAAGAAGTCAGATTGAATACGAAGGGATGTAAAACAAACTTGAAATATCGTTTTTTTTTTCTATTTGATATGGATCGTATTGCAGGAAACTATCCGATAGAGATGTTCGGAACACAGATAAATCAAACACCGAGAATTGAAGAATTTTTTATTTGCGATATGAATAAATTCCGAAATAGTTTTCTCTACGCCGAGACCGGAACTCGATTAGATTTACTGAGACCATGGTCGCGACTATTAGAACTCATTAAGACTAGAAAAAATCTAAAATGAATTTTTCCTCATAGGTCTTTCTTGTGAAGATATGACCATTGTGTCGGATGTTCGATTGATGACCAGATATTCATAGAAAAATGAAAAAAGATGGAATTTTCATAGAAACTTTCATTCATAAATAGGTTACATGATTTTTAGAATATCTCAAAAGTTACTCTTAAAACAAATGTTTTCTTCTCGGCATATTAAATACTAACGAAAATTTGTTTTTGTGACATATGAGCGTTGTTTTTGAATATTCAATATGTCGAGAAGGAACTATCTATATGGCTAAAACTTTCAATTTATTCTAAGAATCATGAAACCAGAGCTGGACAAGTCAAGTCGAAAATGCCTCAGGTCAAGTCAGACTTGACTTATGACTAGAGAAACCTCTGATTTGCCCAGCTCTGTTTTTTATAGACATTATTTTTTACCATGAAATAGAATTCTGAGACTAACAATTGATCCTCACCCGATAAATGCTAGTAAATGTAATGTTCTGCCTAACTATTAATCGAATTTGACTTGACTTGTGACACCCCTGACTTGCCCAGCACTGTCCAATAGTCTTATCTCTATAAACAAATAGTCGAAAATAACTCATCTCTAAAGAGAAGAACAATAAAAATAATAAATTAAATTCAAAAATATTTAAATCCTGCTTTCTGACAACTGACTGCGTTCACATAGGTTCGTTTTTTGTAGTATTTGATAAAATATTTAAAAAAATAAGTATTAATATAATTTACATCGTAAAATTTTTTATTTCCTAATAAACTTTTTTACTTAATAAAATATATCTTTTTAGAATCTAGCTGAAGCTGAATATATTGTTGCTGTTTATATGTATATGCGTTTACTGGGTTATCCGGCACAGACAATTTCTATTCTAACAACATATAATGGACAAAAATTTCTTATTCGTGATGTACTTAATAAACGTTGTGCAAAAAATCCTCTTCTTGGACTTCCAATGAAAGTAAGAATAATTCAAAATTGAAATAATATTATTTTCTTTATCATTAAATTTTCCTAGGTAACAACTGTTGATAAATATCAAGGTCAACAAAATGATTATATTCTTCTTTCACTTGTTCGTACAAAAGCTGTTGGTCATTTACGGTAAAATAAAACTTATATATTTTTGTTTTCGTTGATTTTATTTTGTTTTGTTCAGTGATGTTCGTCGATTAGTTGTTGCAATGTCTCGAGCACGTCTTGGTTTATATATATTTGGTCGAGTTAATCTATTCGAAAGGTAATTTAATTAAGTTTTTCTTTTTTATCGAAAAAAAAAAACAATGTTTTTTCATTGAATTTAGTTGTTTTGAATTAACACCAGCTTTTAATATATTAACAAAACGTCCAACTAAATTATATTTATTACCCAATGAAACATATCCAAGCATGCGAGAGGTTTGTTAGAAGAAAATAATAATAATAATAATAATTTTTTATTTTATAGGAAAAACGTGATCAATCAATTGTACATCAAGCAACAGTAATGGAACATATGCCACAAATGGCAGATTTTGTTTATAAATTTTATAATCAAAAATTACTTGCATATCAAGAACAGAAACGCGTAAGATTTTACCTTTTTTTTTTTTGTTTGTTAGAAATCGAATTTTCTATTGGAAAATTTTGTTTCCTTTTTTTTTTTAAATTTTAGCAAGAAGAATTATCTCGTTATGATCCTGAACGTGATTTACCATATGATCCATTACAACCATCAATTCGTGCACCTGATGAACGTATTATTAATGATAATTTAACAAATAATTCATCAAATGAACAAATAATAAATGAAAAAAATTCAACAACAGAATATATTCCATCACGACAACAACAAGTATCTGGTACATCATTTCGACATGATCCAAATATTGAAAGTTCAACAATTGAAAATCTTGATGATGATGATGATGAAGATGTCTATGATCCAAATAAACCAACACTTTTTCAAAAAATTCAACCACAAACTTCAAATACAACTGAACAAATACAATCAACACCAATGAATATTTCAGCAGATACAACTGAACCAAAGAAAGCTCAAAGTGATGAAGGTAAATTTTATTTAATTATTTGCCTAAATTTACAGAAATATCATCACAGATGAAATCAATTAGAGAGAATTTAATTATTATACAAATATGACGAATGAGAATATTAAAAAAGTGTTTAGATGTTTCAATCTTTGATTTTTTCTACTGTATAGATACTTCGAAATATCCTCTACATAATGGACATATTTTAAAAATTAATACATAGCTATAAAAGCCGAAAAAATAGAAAGTTTCACTTAAAAAAAAAAACATCAAAATTTACATATCATGTCGGTGATTTTGAAAAACAAGTTTTTCGACCGTCTACTATCTTTTGTTTGAAAATATAATGTACCGCTGATTTATGCCAAGGCTTGCTAAAAAAAGTTTCGGTTAAAAAACATACATCTTTGAGAGTGCTCGAAGAATTTTGATATTTTATTTGAATGAATGGTGGTTAACAGAAAAGTAGGCGCTCCGAACAATGCCTAGTATTTGTAGAAAGAATTCAAAATTGCTAATAGTTTTCAGCAATCTATGAGATCGAATTCTTATCATTTAAATCTTTTCATTTTTAGAACCTATTGATGCATCAGAAGATGATCTGAATAAGGTATGTTATTTTATAAATTGTATATTTCAATTTATTTATTGTTTTTGTCTTTAGGCGGCTATCTTTCGAAGTGTACTTCATCAAGACAATGAAATGGATACAATCCCAGCATTGAACGATGAAAACTAGTCTTTATATTTGTTAAAAGAAAACGTGTTTTTTTTTCTTCTGCGAACAAGTTTTATTGTTCAGTTGTGTATTGAAATAAAAAAAAAACAAGGAGAAAAGGTTTTCTATTGACTTAATTAATTAATGTTCCTCAAAAATCAATTATAATACGAGGTGTTGGTTTAAGTAAAATAAGAAAATTATCTGCTAATATTGCTTCATATTCAAAACCATTTATAATATTATAATTTTCAATACGATTTGTAAATAAATTTCCAATAGATAAATGAAAGCTTTGTACTATTTCAACACCTTTATATTCAATAATAAATTGATGTGTTTTTTGCCTGTACGTAAAAATTTTGTTGTTAATAATTTTTCATTTTTATTTTCATTAAATATCGCTACAAAAAAAACTGGATCATCATAAAAAACAAATGTATCACAATCATAACATAAACCACAAGTTTTTACGAGAACATCATTATCGATAGTATTATCATGTAATTGATATTTTTTTTAAAGTTGTTCAACAATAGTTTCATAATTAGGTTTATCATCACTAAGATCATATTTAATATTAAGCAATTGTGGATTTATTGATTTTAAATCATATGTCATACGTGATTGATGTAAAAAATAAGCATCAGATAATGTTAATCAACCGGGTATACTTTTCCAAAGATCAAGTGTTCCTCATCCAGCACGATCAAATCATGTTTTAACAGTATAACCACACATGTTTCGAACACCAATTCGATCGAGAAATATTGTTATCATATATATATAGATTCAATACAATGCCCAACAAGACAATTAGCAATAGGTAAAAAAATTTTTGGATTTGATGATAATTCAATAATTGATGTTATTGGTTGAGAATTTTCATTAAGAGGAACAAGATCATATTCATTAACGATTAATTTGTCTTTCGTCAAGGTATCTCAATAGATTTTTCAGTTTCATAACCACAAAAGATCAGATTCTATTTCATTTTATTTATCATTCTATTCATAGCAAATCAATTGAATATAGTTTTTTTTTTCATTCATATAAATAAGTAAAAAAGCTACAAAACTAAATCTCTTAAAAATACAAAAAAGAAAAATATCAGATCTATTGAATTAGAATATTAAAAATAAAATCTGCATTGAAAGAAAAAAAAGAAAAATTATTCTTGATAAATATAAATGAGATGTTCGATTACAACCATCACTTGAACATGTATATGTACATGAATAATACATTTTTTCATCCTGAGGATATTTTACTTCAATACATTGATTATCCATATGACGTGATGTACAAAAACGTTTTGTTGCTACAGCACCTTCAACAAACAAATGATATCATCAATCAAAAGAAAGACTTTATCAATATGTCAAATTAAAAAGATAAACGATCTTTTAAGTATAATTAAGTAGTGTTTTAACGCTGAGATAAAGTGAAAAAATGATCAATATATCAACATAAGTTCTTATTGTCTCTTATTTAACTTGAAGTTATAAATAGAAAACAATTGGGAAATCAAAATTTTACGTAAGAACATGTGTACAATGTATTTAGTACTAGCTTCATCTTCGAACTTTGGAAATTTTTCTATTGAATTTCTTGGCCTTGACGATAGTTCTTATCTCATTCTATAAGCTCTATTAAAGCCGGAAAAAATCATGAAGAATTCATGCTGATGAATTTTTCTTATCGAATTATGATCGTTTCAAACAAAGTACTGTATAATTCTGATCTTCTTCCACTAAAAAGAATAATGCTAACAATCCTGTGCGCTCTAAATCTTCTATTCACACTTCAATCCCACACCTTAGTTTAAAACACTCAATTTAATCATCATAACTGAAGAAGAATAATCTATAAGTACGAATCTTTTTGAAAATTTCATTCGTTTTACTCCAGTCTACCTAATGATGTAACATGTATGTGAAAAGTGATTTATCATTTAGCGAGGTTTTTCCAGTAGTACGCAGGAAAAAAAAATGATCAAACCTCCAAAAACCGCAATAGTCTTGATACAAAATCGAGCGTTTTGTACACCATCAGGTCCTCCACATTCAATAGGAAGTATATCTTTACGTGTCCATGTTTCTGGACAATATTCCTCTTCTTTTGAATCACATACAAAACAATTTAATGAATATGAAACTAAAATAAACATGAAAATAATTCATAACTACAGTTTTTTACAATGTCTCTTACGATCAATTAAAATTGTTATTAGTACAAAATAAATAATAAAATATTTCATATCAGATCTACAAAAGTTTATCTTTAAAAATAATTAAAAAAAAAGGAGACAATAGTTTCTTGTTTATTTATGTAAATATATTTATATAATAGACATTTTTAAAAAAAAGAAGATAGTTAGTTTATTAAAGAAATTGTGAACTAAATGCATCAATAGCATCCGCACATTGTTTAGCTTGATGACGATTAGCACCAGCATTGTCACGAATCCAAAGTTCAAAATAATCTTTATTCTTTAATAATGTTAAATAAATACCCAATAATTCATAAGCCTGAAAATAATGAGTAAATAATAAAAATCAACTTAAACGATGCTTTTAAATAACTCACAGATAAATCGAGCAATACTAAATATACACTAGACTTCGAAATGGGTTGTCCAACTCGAACTTTACTTCTTTAATGATATGTTTATTTTGACAATCTTTTTACAGGTCAATGTTTTTTGTCTATTTACATTTTATTTTTCGACATTTATATGTGAAACATTTTAATCTTTCAATGTTCGACATTTTTCTTTTCGATCAAAATAAGGTTAATCTTTTTCACTTTGCAACTGATAACAATCAGAAATCTTGATTATGCGAACATTTTGGAAATTTCATTTAGTTAATAAATAAAAACAAAGTATTTATTCAGTTCAATGCCATTCTTCATCTACACATAAGGCCGAGTGCACTATCAATTGTTATAAGTCGCACAAGTTTTATCAAAGTGAAACAGTATAACTAAAAATAATAATCGATCTTACTCTTTCGATCCGAAAAGGAAATTCGACTTATGTCTCATGCTATTTTTTTTCTCAAGCATTAAAACTGTCCGATCTTATTCAACATTTGATCACTATGATGATGAATTTTTTACCATCATCTAATAAATGATTATAGAATTTCATCATGTAGAAATCCTTTTTCTACAAAGAAATATGCTTCCTAATAGTGCCTTTCTGACAAGGGAATGTATTACTAGGTATCAAATCAATTTTGAATCGGAAGCATGTGTATCATGTAGGTTCTCATCAGCTATTAATTCCTTGAAAAGAGTTCGACGTAATAATTTATTATTGTCGAGGTACTGTATTTTTTAGAACAATGCCGTGATTATCCTCATAAAAACCAAAAGCATGCCTTTCATGAAGCTCATATATAACAGCAAATTTTGATGTTCTTATTTCAGAATAGCGGTAATCAAAAAATCTGAAATTTTTATGAAAATTTATTCTCAATAATTGTATACATATCTATATATAATTTATTATTGTTTTCGAACTGTTCAATTATTTCTATGTTTATTATAAACATACTTTTGTAATACCAGATTCTTCTAAATTACTTGCTAATTTTGGTCCTAAGCCAGGTACTTCACTAAGATGTTTATCTTTTAATGGTTCACCAGTAAAATCTCGAAATTTTTGTGATGTTGTCGATGACATAATTAAAAAAATCTAGAATTACATAAGCAAAAAATAAAGTAAAAATAAATCCACAAATCTTGTTTTTTTCTATTTATAATATAAAAAAAAAAGAAACAAATGTTCTCAAATAAATGCTTCAGCCCATTCGGATAATGCTTGTGCTGTTGTTTTTGCTTGATGACTATTTGCTCCACATTGTGTTTGAATCCAATCTTGAAATTCTTCAGCATCTTTATGACATAATAAGTATTTACCAAATAAAGTATATGCCTAAAGGTAAATAAAAGAAAAACAATTATTCTAATCGAATAAAAAATTCCATATGTAAATAAACTTTTTCATAGCCAGCTTCAGATAATTTTGCACCAAGAACATCACCTATACCAGGGACATCTCGAATATTTTTATCACCGAGTGGTTCAGCCATGAATTCACGAAATTTTTTTGTTGTTGATGAACTCATTGTTACTGCACAAAAATAGACGAAATGAATATTATGAAAAACAAACGCTCGTTTCTCTTTTTCTTCTTTTCTATCAGTTGAATGAATCATACGAATCGATTGTGATTCGTGTATACGTATGCAAAACGATTCATTGATTGGTTGACTGTTTCGCCTACCTTGCTCTTATATGATGAGGCGTTAATAATCACTAGATCAGTGAAGCGGATCCGAAAAACTAACACAACTGCAAGCAAAAAGCATATGGACAGTCTAAACGATTCAACTTCCTATCAGCAACTGACGCCAAATTTTCTTTTTCAAAATGTCAATAAAATATTAAGAAATTTTGTACCTGATGATCATGATAAAGAGAATAAACAAGTAAAAACAAAAGATCTCAAAAAAAACTTTTCTAGTTTTGTGTTTTCTTTTTACATAGTTATTCAATTCGATTGGTATTAAATCTCATGGGACAATTACTTGTAAGATAAATCAATGACGGATCGAGAATGTTGAGAAGGAGGGACGATCATGATCAACAAAACGTGTTTTGAAGTTCATTAGAGATTGCTTTGATACATCTTTGGGCTTTTTCTACTGACACAGGAAGATATTTAAATGATCCAAGCTGTTTTCAATGTTATTTTATGCTAATGTCGGGGACATTATTCTAGGAATAATCCTAAAAAGATTTGGACTTATAAAGCTTCTTTTGACAGATATGATCATTTTACTAGTTTTGACGGCTTACAAGGAAATTATTGCATTTGTTCCTTTTCGATTTCAATGATTTGTTTTGTCTACAGATTCTACATAGTATGCTAATAAAAATCCAAAAATAATTTGAGCTCTCATTGAAATTTGAATAAGCTATCAAATTTTTAACATATCTATTTTTGGGAGTTCCTGCAGGAGCCCAGATTTTCGTAAAACTCACATATTTAAATTTTGATCTTAAACATTGTGCATATAAAGAACTCAACTAGACTAGCTGCTGTAAAAAGATTGATAAGTTTTGAGGAAAGCCTCTTCGAGATATGAGTCTTTAAAAAAATCCATGTTATATAAAGTATTTATATGATAAGATCTATATCGCGAAAATCTCATATCGCAAACAGGCTTTGTTTAAAACTTGTGAGTTGTTTTATGGACGTCTGAATAGGGACTCAAATTATTGAAATCGGAAGTAAGCAACTGAAGAGATTTCCATATTAGCGTAAGATGTTTATGGGAAGGTTAAAAAGTCGAATTTCAGTCTAAAATTCTGCTTTTCAAAATTTCTATAAATACCATGTGCTAAGTCAAAAAATCAAGAAAATGGTCATAACTTTCGAAAGAAGCTTTATCAGTGCAAATCCTCTTAGGACTTTTCTTAGAATCATGTCTCCAACGTATGCATAAAATAATATTGGAAACGGCCTAGATCAATTCGAGACCTTTCCTTGTAAAAAAAAATCGAGAAATATTTCGGTAGGGAAGAAACGATCGGTAGAGTTCGATGGTCCTTAGATATATACGAAAATTGAAATCTATTTTGAGATTGCTGAAATCTTGAACCTCAACAATAAAAAACTAAAGATTTCTCGACATGAATTTAGAATGCCAGCGATTGACCTCAATGTCTCTGCCATCTAAAGCCGCCGCTGCGACAAATGAACCTATCTGAATAATAAACGAGAGCAATTTTTCTACTCTTCTTTGTTTTGTTTAAGTTGCGGATAATAAATCGAATCGAGCAGAATTTATTCGTATACCACCGGATGCTGATGTTATGAAAGTTAAAGAATTAATGCATGCAAAATGGTGTAAGGAAGTATGTTTTACTTTTCGTTTTTTTTTAAATATTAATGTAGTCTAATGGCTGATTTTTGTTTTATAGCGACCATCACTTGTTATTTCCGTAACCGGTGGTGCAAAAGCTTATAATATGAAACCAAGATTATTGAGAGCATTTCGACGTGGTCTTTTAAAAGTAGCAAGTACAACAGGTAATGAAATTGAATCATTTTTTTTCTTCAAATTACTTTCACAGACTTATGTTCAGTATTGTTTCCCAATTTGAAGATCTCTACAAATCAGTCAAAAAGAAAATCTAATGATAAATATAAAGATAATGACGAAGATTATAGTTCCAATTAAGGAAAACTTAATGAAGTAGATGAATATGAATTGTTGAGTAATGACTCTGAAAATGAAAAAGAAATCGAGTAATCATTAGAATAATAACGGGTGGCCCAGATTAAATGGACCTCTTAGTATTTTGACTATAACTTTTTTTCTTTTTGGTCTTTAGAGCTAATTGTTTTTCCAAAAGATGCGCCGTCAAATTCTCTGTAAAATCATAATCAAACTTATTTGTGTAGAAAGTTAAGGAAAAAAATTAAACGAAGATTATCCGACACATTAAAAGTACCCAACTTTCAAAGCTGACGGATGTCTCATAAGTGTCCGATGTTTGTATCTCTTTTTTCTATCGCCAAGTACATTATTTTAGAAGTAAAGTATACCATACGATGCAATGTGAAAAGCTCTACAAGTTACATTAAAACCCTTATTTTATGCAAGCACTCTTTGTTTTCAAAATGGACAAAATTCTATGCGACCAATTTTCGACGCTGCGAACAAGATCATTTTTGGTCGCACAGAGCTTTGCTTATTATAAAAACAAAAGATGCATATATATAAAATAAACTGTTCTTTGTAGATTGTAGAGCTTTTCACGCTGCTTCTTGTAGTATATTTTCTTTTCTTTTAATACAACATATTAAACGATAAAAAGATGAAATAAGAAAAAATGAATTCGTAGTGTACCAAAAACTGATCTTGTTCGCAGCGTCGAAAATTGGTCGCACAGAATTTCGTTCATTTTGAAAACAAAGAGTGCATGTATAAAATAATGTTTTCAATGTAACTTATAGAACTTTTCATGCAGCGCCTTATGGTATACTTTGCTTTTCAAATAGACGTACTTAACGATAAAAAAAAGAGATATAAACCCCGGTTAACGTTGAAAGTTGAGTACTTTTAATGTGTCGGATAATCTTCGTTTAACGTTTTTCCTTAACTTTCTACACAAATAAGTTTGATTATGATTTTACAGAGAATTTGACGGCGCATCTTTTGGAAAAACAATTAGCTCTAAAGATCAAAAAGAAAAAAAAGTTATAGTCAAAATACTGAGAGGTTCATTTAATCTGGGTCACCCGTTATTATATCTAAAGCAGATGTTAACACACCATTATACATTTCGGTAAGCTCATATAGATTGACCTTGATTATTTTCGAAAGTTATAACTTGATCAGTTCACACTTTTTATGGTGGTCATATGACTACTGTCACAACTCACTAGTCATCGTATTTGACATCTTGAATATAAACTTATGTCGGCGCAAAAATTAAAAACTTCACTATTTAAAACATTCACAAACGTATGCCAGCTACTCAGATTTCAAGAAAGGCTTTGGAATGTTCTAGAACACACTAAATCTTGTTGTTAATACCGTTCAACACTTTTTCCATGGCTAAGAAACTCTCAGAAAGGAGTCCGACGTCTGCTATCTTCGGTTGCTATGAAACACAATCAATGACTGACCCAGTTGCTAAGGTGTGTAATGAAGATGACAGCTGGATGAAGGAGTAAGAAAGAAAAAGCAAGACTTCGATATTTCAAACCACGAGTAAAGTATGCATTTCATTCGTATTGCACTCGTACCCAAGAGTATCGAAGTCTTGCTTTCTTCCCCCTCGGTGAAAAGCCACAAAACTTCCACTCACTATTTTCTTCGAAAATATATGTGAATTCCGAAAAAACAAACAAACACAACCTACTTTCGGATGAATGTGTAATATGTTTTGCTAGATGAATTCTAGTTGGAGAAGCCGTAATTCCTAAACAATAAAAAAGTTCAAAAAATTAAAAAGAAAATATAATATACATTGATACCTGTAGCCAGTGCAGGTACACTTCCACTAAGAGCACGATTTGTAACATTATCAAGATGTTTCAATTGTCCAGGTAAATTTGGATAACTTGTAGCAATTTTTTGTTGATTAAGAGTATCAAATGGACTAATTAAACTATTTATATCCGATAAATCATCACCCGAAACACCTGTTGTATTTAGTGAATGAATCGTTGTTGTTACTATATTATTATTATTGTTATTATTATTGCTATTTAATAAACTATTTGGATTTGTTTGTTTATCAGCATCCGTTGTTGAATGATAAACATCACGAGAAGAACCATCAACCACACGCATTTCAATTGTATCATTCGTTCGCATTGCAGAGACAAGCATTTCAACTACCTTGAAAAACAATAACATTTTATTTTTTTCATTGTTATTATTAAATATAGAAAAGTACATACTTGCTCATATTTAACATTTCTTACATCGATGCCATCGACTTCTAATACTTCATCGTTAACTTGTAAACCAGCCATATCAGCTGCTGAGTACTATTGAATAACAAAGAAAACACAAGAAAATCCATAATAGATCCATTGAATTTCAATTTAGTTTACGAACTTTTTCAACAGCTGTTATTGTATGATCATAATCACCGGTGGCACTAAGAACAAAGCCAAGACCTTTATTGCGGTCTACTCTGAGTACACATCGGCGAGGACCTCGAAGATAATCAAATGATCCAGTTGATATTGTTGAACGAACTGTATCATGAATAATTGAAACAGGTACAGTTGTTGCATTATTAGCAATTGTATCAAGTGATTGTGAAACACGTGGTACTTCTAATCGATTATGTCCAACACGAACAGTTGGTGGAGAAGGCGCACGTGTTTTTGAACTAACTTTTGCTTTTGGAGGAGCATCATAGTCAACTGCAGGAAAAAAAGCATGGAAGATAGAATTATTTATTCATTTCTATTCTACATATTATCTATTTACATTGACAAAAAAAGAATCAAACTCTTATCGAAGTTGATCTACTTTTCCTATCATCATACTATGTCAATATTTAAGACTTTCATATTTCTTTCAAGTTTTCCATATTTTTTATTCGCAAAAAAATCCTATATTCTGCATTTTTCTCGCAATATAACTTTTTGTTTAATTTATTTTTACAAATACAGGGTGATCTAAACGTCACCGGACAATTTTTGATAGAAACAAAAAAGAGAACTATGATTTTTCACTAATGAAAAGAGGAGAGTTGGAGGAGAGACCACAAATCATATAAAAAAAAACATAATATTCATAATTTTTTGGTTGTTGTTTGAAAAACCAAGATTGAACAAACTGATATACTTAGAATTTGACGTTCTATGAGAACTTCGAAAATCTCGACTTTTTAAAAGTTTCTAAAAGTGTTTGTAAATATTTTCTTTCGTATACAGTTCGATGTCTTCAAGTCTCTTCTTTTTAACGGTGAAACCCGCAGTTCTTTCTTGTTTCTCTCAAAAATAATTCGTTAGTTAAAAGACATATTTATCTCTTTTCTCAGTTGTAACTATCAACGTTGTCAAAATACCTTGTACTCAATATTCAATAAAGTAAAACAAAACCAATAAAACCAAGTATTCTACACTATAAAGCAATACTAAATTGTCTCAGAATATTCTATTCTAATAATTCTATACTAAAATCATATCTACGTGATATTATCAGATAACCTACCGTGTTTGTATTGTTTCTAAAAGTATGTGCAACTGTGTCGTTCAAAGGCGTGCAATATAGATAGAATAAAAGATCTTTTTTTTTCTTTTATCTACAATAGTCCTTGTGATATAGAGTGCTCGAACATGCAAAATGTGCAGTTGTTGTGTTTACAGTGCAAAAATAACGATGTAAAGAAGTGATACTAATAAAAGTAAATATAAAAAAATCTATAAAAACACTACGTTTTTTTAAATAACAACTGACAACAGTTATAGTAGTAATAATGATATCAAGAAGAAAATGTCAAAATAGCTACATGCAAAAATAAGGGAAAAAAAGAACTCATCACGAACGTTTTGATGATTTTGAATGTCCAATTTTATGAAATAAATTATTAATTGCGTTTGGTATAGCTTTTGCTTTTGATGGTTTTGATTCTTTCGTTGATGTTTGTTGTGATGAAGCTGTCGAGCGTGATGTATTAGGTGCATTTTGATCAACAGTTGTGGAAGTACCTATTTGTCCAGATGTTGTCTGTGCAGGATCAAAAAATTTCAAAGGTGAGTCGTGAGAACGAGCAGAAGTATGAGCAAGTGTACTAGGTGGTGTAGATAAATCAAAACTAACTGCTGGATGTGAATTCCGTGTTGTTCTGGTTTGTGATACAATAACAGGTGATGAATTTTGTTCAGGTGAATCTTGCTTATCATTTTCTTCATTCTCGGAATCCGTTTCTTTTGGTGTCGAAAGACGATAACCAACTGACGTATTGTGCAAAGATGGAATACTATCATTAGTAGATTTTGTATTACTATTATATAACTGTTCTGCACTATCTCTTGTTGAATTTGAATATGTTGTTGCTGCTATTGCAGCAACAGGCAACTTATGAAAACTTGCTGATGACCTACTTTTTGGAAAAATATGTTTCACTTTCATTTCAGGTTCTTTCAATGGTTTTTTCATTCGTTGACAATAATCAAATGTTTCTTGATCAACAACAAGCATTTCTAATCGTCCATCACGTTTAGCTTTTTCAATTTCTTTCTTAGCTTTATCATAACCTAAACCTTTTGTTTTACGTTCATTAATTTTTAATAATACATCACGTGATTGTAAACCAGCACCTTCAGCTGGTGATTGTGGTTCAACACGTAATATAATTGGATATTCATAATCAGCATCTTCACTTAATTCAAAACCAAATGTAGCTGCTTGTGTACCATCAGCATTAGTTGCATGTAAATGACAAAGACGTAATGTATATGATAATTCTTTATTTCGCTGTTCTAAAAAAAAGCAGCAGAAAAAAAGAGAGAGAACAGAGATACATGCCAAACTAAATACTGAGCAAAAGCAAATAGGAATCGGTGAGAAATGAAAATAAAACTGAGCTTTAAATCGCAAAAAAAATGTATAGGCAAACGGACAAGATCAATTTATAAGCCAAGAAAAAAAAAGAACAAGAAATTAAGCAAACTTGCCTTGAACATGCATCGTGAATATTTTTAATATAAAGAATGTTCTTTTTTTCTTTTTATTAAAAAATACATGTTTATGATGATTATAGTCTCTTATTTGCGATTACGCCCCGAGTCTAAATTCTTCGTAGTAGCGCTGCTGCTGCCGCCGGCAGAGGAGGAGGAGATGGCTCGATCTTAAACGAGATAGAAAAAACGAAAAGAAATTATTAGATTATGTTTGTTTGTGGGCTACGCATTAATTGCGGCCAAAAAAAGTTTAAGTCGATTAGTGAAAAATGATCGATTTGTTAGAGTAAGTAAAGTTGCATTGTCTCATTTTTATTGCATTTCCAAAATGCGGTCACTTTTCAGTTAAGGAGCAAACAAAGAAACATGCCATCATGCATGTATATATCTTCTATCAGATGCTCAACATCAATTAATTCACGACGTTTTTATCAAATTAATACGTTTTGTATATTAACGGCTAGATTGGCATCATCGTTATGACTTATACCATTGTAGTTTTAAAATTGTATCTTTCTTTTTAAAGTAATAACAAGAGGACATGATTTGAATGTACAAGCGTATACTAATGATTCATTTCTAGTTTTCATATTTTAATAAATATAAAAATAATTATCATAACCATATTGTCCTTTCACCTTTTTGCCTTGTTGGCCAAATAAACATAATATCCATTATTTTAAATGAAATCTTACTATCATTTTCATTCTTCTGTATTTTTCAACAATATTTAAACCATGATCAAACCAATTGTGTAATAACTAATTGATTAAAAAATGGCCACTTTTTTGGAAACATAATAAAAATGAGACAATGCAATTTTATTCGTTCCAAAAAACATCGATTATTTTTCACTAATAGGCTTCAGTTTTGATCGCAATTACGAAGCTACGTGTTTATGTGCATTGGTGTGCGTTTAGGTGTCAAAAAACAAGCGGCATTTGTTGTCATCAAATATTAAGCTTCAAGAATATGTGAAAAAGACAATATGGTTTGACTAATCCCCTATCCATCCACAACGACAGCAGCTTAATAAATAATAAACCATTTGAGATAAACAAAAAGAAACAAAAAATAAAGAATGTGATTTAAAAACATTGAGCCATTGTTGATGAAATGGAGTAAGGGTAAGAAAATTTTCATGCAAAGATATTCGTGAGTATTGTCAGGTGATGTTCAAAAGCTTCGGATGTGAAAAAAAATGAAACAAAAACTCAACAAATAAAAAAACGTTCAAAGCATTATTTTGTTTTTTTTTTTTTGTTTTTTCTCTCGCTCCCTCTTTTTTTTTTACATACTTTGATATTCTTCAACAGCATTGGCACCTTGTTGACTTGGTTCTCCTCCAATACTATCTTTATTTCCTGTATTAGTACTATCGATACTACCCAACGAAAATTTTGTTCGATCTTGATTTTTTGTATTATCGTCTAATTGAGAAGATTGTTCTCGAACAACAAGTTCAACAGTTTTCTTTTGAAGTGCTTCTTTAATTAATTTAACTGTATCTTCATAATTTGTTTCAGTTACTAATTTTCCATTAATTGATAGAAGTACATCATTAAGAAGCAAGCCAGCTTTATCAGCTGGAGAATTTTTTTCAACTTGACAAATTAAATACGGTGGAGGACTTTTACCACTAAGTGCAAAACCAGCTGTACGATCAGAAGACGGTTGTAAAATACAAACACGAGTACCAGTTGATAATGTCGATTGACTTGTAGATGATATTGGTGGAGCTGGTGCTGTTTGTTTATTAGATGACGCAGAGGATTTACGTGAAGTACTTGTTTGATCCGCTAAAATAACAAAAGAAAAAAAATCGATGATACAAACGTATTATTAAATCAATAGTTAATGAAAATTCATTGTTATTAAATAGTGAACATACAATATGTTAGTAATTAAATAAGTGTGACATGCAAAACAAGATAAGTATTAATTATTTTATTTTATCTTTCTCTTTTTAAAGCAAAACGTATTGTAAGATTGATTAAAAGATTAATTTAATTAGTATGCACAATAAACACACAATTATACACAAATAATAATCTATAAGACTTGAAGCCAATGAAGAAAGGCAATTAAAACAACAAAACAAAAGAACAAAAAAAAAACAGACAAGTTAGTTATACATTGAGTACTAAAATTCTTCAATAAGGTTTATTTTCACTTTTTCTCGGTCATCGTAAACATTCGCAAAAATCCAAATAGTGATTCGAATAGAAAAAATGGTCTCCAACAAGAATATAAGAAAACATAAAAGCTAATTAACAAATTCGCAAAGATAGAGATTCCAGAAAACTAAAATCATAGTTTTTCATCGCGTTAATATCATTTTGTTTAGACCCTGTGGAACAATAGAATAAACTATCCTCTACAAAATGAGATATCGCCAAGTTCTTGGCAATGTCTTTTGGCTGAAATATAGCACTTTCATTCAAGGTTTCAAAATCATTTTTCTATAGAATATTGAAAACAAAAAAACGACTCAGGGAACTTCCGTAAGATTGCTGTATCTCAAGTAAAAAAAACGTCGCAGAGAATTAGGAAAAATCTCATTTTGTAGAGAATGACTTACTCTATCGTTCTATGTAGAATAAACAAAATTATTTTATACGCCCTAGGTATTGAAAAACTATGACTTGGATTTTCTGGAGTCCCAATCTTTGTGAATTTGATAATCACTTTCATTTCCTTATATTCCCTTCGGAAACAATTTTCTCTATTCGTATCTTTATTTGGATTCTTTCTAACGCGTGGAGTAGCGGAAAAAAAATTGAAAATAAATCTTGTTGAATAATTCTGGTATCTACTGTAAATATGAATATATATATAATATATATACAGAATTAAAAAAACATGCACGATCATGCAAAAAGAAGAAGAAGAAGAAGATATGTTAAATAATAATTATTTTTTCTTATGGTATGATTTTCGTCGATATGTGATTTGCCTACTTTGTATTGTTTCATTATTAGATTCATCATCTAATATTGGCTTCCAATCAATAGAGTTTTTTTCTTGATAATTTTTATATCGTGGTACATCAGTTTTTTTAATTAATATTAAATCAATATCGGTATTTGATAATGATAATTTTCGTATAAGTATTTTAACATCATCGTGTGTTAATAATTCAACATTTTTTTTATCAACAAACAAAATAATATCATCTTCACGTAGACCAGCATTAAAAGCTGGTGAATCACCTTCAACTTGATCAATTAAATGAAGACCATTTTGATAACGTAAGACGAGACCATAACCATTATAAGTTGGATCTTTTTTTAAAATACAATGCTTTACTTTAACAGAACCTTTATCATCAGTAAATGAAACATGAAGATTTTTTGATAAATCATCAGTAGATGGTTTTGGTGATTCAGATTTCCGATGAAAAAGCTTTACATCTTCCATTGAATCACTTGAAATCTGTTTTATTGGTGAACGAGAACGACTAGTTGAATCTAATAATAATAGTAATAAAATAAATAGTATAGAAATCAAAGCTGGACACAGGACAGGACACCCTGCTGTTCGGCAGGTCAGGACAAAATTATAATTTATGTTTTGTTCTGTCGTCCGCTAGGGCAGAGTATCCCAATAAGACAGAAAGGAAAACGTTGTTCAATGCTCCCTTGTGTTTTGTATATTATCTTTTTATTAGTACAATCTTCATTATCAAGTACTTTTATATTGTTTTATATTTGTTTCCTGTGATGAACGTGTCATTAAAATAGTAAATCAAAATGTTTCTATGTATTCTTAAATTTGTAATAATTAGTCATTATTGAGAACCTTAGTTGTTATATTTGAAAATGAAACGAATTATATTAGCTATGAGATAACTAATAAACTAATATGTGTTGCGGTGCTCGAAAATGAAAATAAGAATTTTTTACTGTCGTGCTCTGTTCTGCAGAATAAAATAAAACCACAATTTATGTCATGTTCTGTCGTCTGTCAGAACGGAGTACGACAGCAGAACAAGATAGAAAACGTTTTCCTGTGCCCAGCTCTGATAGAAATAATATGAATAAAAAAAAAATTTACTTGGTAAATTACCTAGTTTTGATTGTTCAACGGATTCATAATCGGGTGGTGGTGAACTTTTTTTATCTCGTATAGCTTCTGGTTTATTTTGAGTACGTTTAACATTTTCAATTAATTCTAAATATTTAGGATCATTCACAACTGTTAATTGTAAAGGTTTTTTTGTTTGCATCATGCGACGAACATCTTCATGTATAGAATTTGTTACATCAACACCGTTAACTGTTAATATACGATCACCATCACGTAAACCAGCTTTATCAGCCATTGATAATGGTTGTACATTACTTATAAAATGTGTTTGAATTTGACTATCACCTTCTGGTATAAATGAATTAAAATCTAATCCTAATGCTTCTTTTAATACAATATGACGAATATCATTTTCATCATATTCTTCTGATGCTATGCAAAAGAATAATGAATAAATTTTAAAACAGAAATTAGAACATACGTTGGTTAGGTAATGATTTTTTTTCTTGTTGATTAAATGTATTGTCACGTGTTGGTGAATGACTTGGTGAACGACTTTGTGAACGTGGTGATCTTGTTAAATTTTCATCAGGTATGGGATTTGTTAAGCCAACTGAAAACGGACCCCCAGGTGCTTTAACATTTGTTTCACGAGTAGACATTGGTGAACGTTGAGAATGTACTGTTGATGGACTTGTAGATTGATCAGATACAAAACGAACTTGACTATTATCCGGTGGTTCACGTGTTATATCAGTTGTTAATAATGATGCTGGAGTTTGACCTGAAATTTAAAAAAAAATAAATAAATCTATTTGTTTGTTTGTTTTTTTCTATATGAAAAACAAAATGAATTTAACCTCCTTGCTGACGATTAAATGATTCTGATCCTAATGATATTGTTGTTGCATCCTTCTCGATTTGTTGAGTTGTTGATGCTGATGTTTTTTTTCTTGCTACAACCATATTAATTAAACCAGCATTAGTTAATAATTGACGAATATCTTGTGAAACTTCAGAAAATTCAATTAAACGTATGTCATCATCTTCTATTTTAATAAGCCAATCATTAACTTTAAGACCAGCTAAATCAGCTTTTGTTCCTTTAGCAACAGCTGTTATAATATATTGTAATGGATCTTGTTGTTTAGTTAATTTAAGACCGACAGGACTTGTTTCAGTTGGCTGCAATAATTGTATATTATGAAATTCATAACCGTGTTCTTTTAATTCTGATAAAGGCATTGTAGCTAAAAACAAAAAAATATATTAAATTAATTATATTAATTTAAGAAATGATTATGGAGCAAAAAAAAAAACAATATTTAAAAAATAGTAGAAAGTTGTTATGTCGTTCATGTTCAATGAGATAGGTAAAAAAAGGATGCACCGCAAACATAATTAGTATTAGTATAGAACCGTATATCACCATTATGAGTATGTTTATTTATGGCTCACCCAACGCCATTTTTCCTGATTGCATAGGTGTTTTTTCACTTTCAGATGAAATCGATTCATTGGAACGTCTTTCATCATAATCATCATCACTATGTTCTCTCTCATCGGATTTATTATCCGAAGATTTAACTTGAGCAGTTCCATGTTGTACAGCTGAATCTCCTGTTATTTGTTGTTGATCATCAGTATCATTTTCATCACCAATAGATTCTTCAGGTGAATAAAATATGTCTGCATAAGTTGGTTTTTGAGTGTGAAAATCAGCACCTGATGCTGTATCGTCACTATCAGATTGTTCTAGACGATGAGCTTGTACAGTTGATCTTCCAGCAACATATAATGGTACATGTGGTAGTTCATCGGCATCCGATATTGTTGATGCTAGTGATTGTTTATTATTAATATCTTGTTTACGAATTTTCGATGCTTCATCTTCATCATCAGGTACGATTTCTGGTATATAACGACTTGACGTAGTAGGTATTGTTATTGATTCAGAATGTGATGCATCTTTTTTGTCGTTTGAAGATTCACTAATCTTAGATTGTAAATTTTTGTTCGCAATAGGATCGGAAGTATCTTCTTCACGAGATTTCTCTGATATATCAGATAAATCATCATCTTCATCCGTATCATCGTACACAGTCATATGTGTATTGGTTTTAATAGGTTTACTCGGAGCACTCATTGCTTTCGTAGAGCCTGTATAGTTACGTTTATTTTTTAGTTTTTCAAGAATTTCTTTTCTTTAAAAATATTCAAATAGAATTTCTTAAAAGATTACTTACCTAAACGAAGATCAGATTGTGTTGATGGAGTTGTTTGAGAACTTCCTGAACACACACACACATAAAATTAGGATTCAAAAGAGAAATCAATAATTCAACAAACTTTGTTCATAATCAGATACTGTAGATGTTACTTCACCAGGTATAATGGGCATACCACTTTGAAGATTTTGAATAGATTGATTTTGTCTTGATGATGAACTTACATCACCACGTTTATTTGCTGCTGCTGTATCTGGACTTGGTAAACGTTTAGGTGAACTATCTCGTTGTTCAGTTGATGATGTTGGTCGAGATGTGCGATATCCATCAGCAGGAATACTACTACTTGGAATAGTCGGTGAAATATTGCCTGTTTGTTGTGTTGGTGTTTGATTGGTAATACCAACTTGTAAAGGTTTAAAACCATCTTCTAATGTACCACGTCCTTTTGTATCATCTATATCTATACAAAAATTAAAAAAATAAAGATATTTTATAAAACATAAAAAAAGAAAAAGAAGTTTATATCAATTAAACTTTCGCAATTATATTTCACATGTTTTAATTAATAGATTTCGAAACAAGAAGAAAAAAAGCAACACGAAATGTTATTTATATTTAAAGGTTATTCTTATGAAAATTTCTAAATGTCATGAAAATGTTATGTAAAAATATTTAAGATTTAAATAACATTATTCAAAGAAACAATTATAAGATTATTTACTAACCTGTTCGTCGACCATGTGTTTGTGAACGAGTTGATGAATCACCACTAGTTGCTGCTGGCAAATCAGCTGATTTTCCACTTGATACACCCCATGATGATCGATCAGCTTTAGCTGGACCAACACCTTGTAAAATTTGTCCTTGTTGTTGTTGTTGTTGTTGTTGTTGTTGTTTTGATAAATATCGATCATCATCTAATGTTGGTGAAACTGACTCATATCGTCCATGTGTTGTTGTTGAAACTGTTTCTCTTGGTCGATTAGCATTTGTTTGATCATTAAATGATGATTGTCGTTCATTATTATATTTATTATAAAGTTGTTCTAATGTTTGTGCTGCACCTGTACTTGATGAAATATCTCGTTCAGATATATTTGATGATGGCATAACTTGAGCAACTGTATTTAATGTTGTATCATTATATTTATCTGATGTATCTTGTTGAATATTATCTAATGTTGTATTATTTTGACGTGATTTAAGTAAATAAGATTTTTTTGCAACAAGAAAATCAAGACTTTTTTCACTACGACTTTGTTTAAGAATATTTAAAACATCATCATATGGAATATTAAGAAGTGATCTATCATTAAGTGATATAATACAATCATCTCGTTCAATACCAGAACGATCAGCTAAAGAATCTACTTCAACGCTTTTAATAATATGGCCAAAATCTTTATCCGGTTGTAGTGATATTCCGATTGTATCCATACCTGGTCGAAATGTTATCGAACACATATGTGGTTCTGATTTTAAATTGTTATTTGTGTCTAAAAGCCGAAAACATATTATATTAAAATGTAGAAAATAAAAATAAAATTTCATTTCATGCATTTTCATGCGACAACAAAAAGAAATACTAGTCAAATATGATAAGCAGCATCCATAACCAAAAGCGTTTTGTTTGCTTTATTTTTTTATCGTATTTTCATGCTTTATTTTATCTCATACCCTCTAACTTAGACGAAGTTTGCCATAAACGTTCATATGGCTGTGGTGGCTTTTCTTGAACAGCAGTGGTATTTGAAGAACTGCTTGGTGTTTTAAATTTAGTTCTAAGTTTGTCAATAAATGACGGAGATTCATCTCCATGAGGCAAACTGTCAATTGATTCGCTGCTATTTTTACGCTTAGAATCAATATTATCATGTTCATCTTCATCATCATGATGATGTTTTGTTGGTAAAAGGTTTTTAATATTTCCAATGCCTGACTTAACAAAATCTTTAACACCTTCTGTGATTTTACTGTGATATTTGTTTTTATTGTCAGTATTATCATCGGTATAATCTGTAGTCCGAGGAACTTGTACAGTATATTGTGGATGCTGTTGTTGTTGTTGTTGTTGTTGTTGTCTTGTTGGAGATGAATTATTTTCTTGTTCAAAGATAATATCGAAAAAGGATTTGCCGTTCTCAACCGCATAATCTGTAATAAGTTATTTTTGTTCATACAATATTAAGTGAAATAAGAAAAGGAATGAAAATTTCTTTTTATGTTCATAAAACAACACTTAACGTAATAATCTACGATTATTCTATCAAACAAAACAAAGTAAAACTGGAAACCTACCTGAATATGGTAAAAATGTATAAACTTCAGTTCCTTGATGTGATGGTTTTTCTTGATATCGTTGATTGGTTAAATTCGATTGATTTTGATTTAGTGATAATGTTGGTCCAAGGTGTATTGTATTTTGTGCCACTGTTGGATCATTATTATTTGCTGTACGCCATTGATCGTACAAAACTTTTTCTGGACTTACAGTTAATGTTGGTGTTTCCATTCGAACACATGTTCGATAATTTTCATCAATATTTAAATGATGACGTCGAGCTAAATCTGCACTATGAGGATCAAGTACTAAAAATCGAATTTGATCATCTTCAAGTTCATGTTGAATAAATGAAAGTATAACAAAAAAATCATCATTTTCAACTGAATGACCATTCACAGCAAGAACAACATCTTCACGTAAAAGACCACCACTTTCAGCTGGACTATTTGGTTCAACATCACCAATACGTAAACCAAGCCAATGTTGATTACGAGCTAAATGAACACCATAACCTAGAAAAAAACAACAAAGCAATTTATTTTAAATTTTTACAAAAATTTGTTTTTGTTACCATCATAATGAGGCCATTTACGTAAAACACATAAACGAGGACGAATATTTGCTAATTGTTCGCTATCATATTGAGTTTGTTGTTGTTGACGAGATGTTGACGATGAACGACCTGATTGTCCACTCGATGTAGTTAATGTTGGTTGACTATGATACGTAGTCGATTGATTTGTTCCAACTTGCATCATATTTATTAATGAAGTTTTTTTTTGTTTTTAATTAATTTTTTTTTCGACCGGGGATTTTTTTATTCTTTGTCTTAATTAACGACTAGACGAATCGACAACTAAATGATAACATCAACTAGAAAAAAAAAGTGAAATTTTCTTTCGAATGACTTTGATTAATAAACGAAAAAGAAATAAGAAAAAAAATCAAAAAATATTGTTTTCTTTCTTTGTTTCATATATTCGATCTTGACTCATATAAACTAAGCAATACAATAACACGTTTATCTTCTCTTTCTTCTTTTCAAATGACTAATGCATATCTACTTACTTTCTTTTATCTCTATATTTAAGAACTAAAATACCCTAAGTACTGAATGAGAGACAGAGAAACAGTACATACAATCTAAGCTGTTTAACCACTTGACTTCTAATGTTTAACAAAAAACAAATAATGAAGCACAAAAAATATTGGTAAAACTGTGAACAATTAATTCGAAAAATTTGCGGAAAATTATATATTTGATTCAGTTGGGTGTTGTACAGACCTGTATATATTCTTCTTTTCTTTATAACCCTGTCAAACCCTCTAGCCCCAAATTTGAAATGTGATATCCTTGAAATGTGTATGTGTGTGCTCGCCTGCCTGACTGCTTCTCTGCTTGTGTATGTATGTATGTATGTGTGTGTGTGTGTGTTGATCAAAAAAAACTGAATGATGAGTTACTGTATGGAACATAAACTACAACGGCTGTCATTACCACGTCTTTTACTATCTATTTGTGAGTACTACTGCTCTTCGTCAACATACTCATATGTATGTCTAATCATCAGACACGAAAAGCAAGACAAAAAAATAATGCAGCAAAATGAAAATGCTAACCGATACGCTTCAATAACTCTTCTCTAGCTTTCTTTATCTTTCTTCTTTCTCTTCGTCCATGTTGTTTTTTTTTTGCTATCTGAAACATACGAAGGACACTCACTGAAAGTCTACCCGACGTGTCGTCGTTTTGCTATTTCGATTTTCTCTCTTCTGCTTCTTCTTCTTCTTCTTCTCTCTCTCTTCGTCTCTCTCTCTCTTTTTTTCGGTTCGGTTTTTTTCCTACTCTCTCACGCTATTTTATTGAAAGGCCATTACCTTCTAAATAATAGCATCATTATCATCATCATCGTATAATATATCTCTCTTATTCACTTGTTTCTTTGGGGTAAAGAAAGAATATAACGAAAAAAAAGCAGAAAAAAGGGCGATGTTTGTTATGTACAGTTCTTCTCTTTTAAAACAAAGAAAGAACAGAGCAAATTCCTTTCTATATATAAATTTATGTGTCTTTTTTTTTGCTCGAGCAGCACTAAAGAACATTTCGTGGCATCCAATTCAATTGCAAAAGAAAATGGAATATTAGAAAGACGAAGAGATAAAATTACTTCATCAAACGAATGAATGCAACAAAAAAAAAAAAAAAAAAAAAAACGAATAAATGATAGAAGAGAAAGATAGAAAATTCCATTTGTGTGATTCGTCTTCACTACCATCATTACTTCAATATAATCAAGCAGCTAGTGTTGATGATAATGGTAATAGTGATGCTGTCGATGGCATATTTACTATTACCATTCAAATGTCTTGTGTTTAACCTTTACTTCAATTTTTTTCTTTGTTCCAACAATAGAAAGAGATATGGCACGCACCAATATGAACACAAACATACATAGACACACATAGAAAAGAAGAAGAAGACAATGAGATTTGTCTCGATAACCTTTTACAATAATTTCCTTCAAATAGATAGTTTGTATTTTAACACTGGTTTTCAATAAATATTGTCTGTCGTTATTAATTATTGAGATACTTCAATAAATGAAAGAAAAAGAAACTAAAAACCTCGACGATTCTTTTTCTTTATTTTTCCAAGGAATAGAACAGAAAAAATCTAGTCATATATTTTGTCTTGTTCATTTCGTCATTGATAATAATACGCATATACTAATTCCAAATATAGGTTTTTTCTTCGAATATAACTATTTACTCACAACTGACTGTGATAAAAACTGATTGAAAAAAAATATTTATCGTAATGAAAGATATGGACATAGAAAAAAAAATGATTAACGCTGTAAATAACCACACAGCAAATTGGATCATAACCTCGATAAAAAAAATTGATGAAAAAAAAAAAAACCGAGTAGGAAAAGGTTAGTTTCGCCTGTAGTTTGTCCTTAATAATGCTATTAGTATTATCTCACACTATCTCAATAATAATTATATCGTAGATATTGTCATATTCATGATTTTTTTGTTGTTGTTTCGAACGAATTTGAATATTAACACACTCATTGAACTGTTGTCGTCTCATTTAAAAGCTATTAATGCGCACATCATTAATAACGTTATGATAAATCGAGATATTTCATGTGTGCAAAAAAAGTGATGAAATGAATATTGACAGTCACTATAAAAAAATGTTTATGCACTTTGTTCTTGCCGTATATTAGTAACGAACACATCAATTAGTAAAAGAAAAATGATATACTATGTTCATTTATATTTCAATTATTTCAGTGTTTTTTTGTTTTTCATTGAATTTATAAGTAGTATTTCTACCTACTAAAAATTATTTTATCTATTATTTTCATATTTATCACATACAAAAAAGAAACCTCTCAGCATAAGATCGTCTCGTTTATTATTAGATAAGACTTTTCAATGACAGCAATATATGATACTTTAATTTGCATCTATTCAACTATCAGTAGTATTGGTAAAGAGATATTTTTTTACAATATCTCAATGAAAAATGATCATACTATCTCAAACCACTTGAAAAAGTTGTAAATAGTACAATGAAAAATGCAAATCTTCTTTTGTTGCTTACCGCTCGTTTAGATTTTATTATTAAAGCTCTTTATGATACGAACCTTTTTTTCTTCATGTATAACATTACTATTGGTATTGATCTAACTCATTAATCTTTCTGTTCAATTTATTATACTGTTTTGTGTTCATTTTTTTTTTCTAAGGTTTACATGTACGTAATCAGGTTAAAGTGGAAGTAAGAAATAGTTACTTTTTTTTCTCTTCTTCAACGTATTATATTTTAATTGAAAACAAATAACAAAGTTTGACTTTGTCTATACATTTTCATTTACTTTTCTACGGATAAATGGGATTTAATTATTTTGTAGTATTCAATATTATTTTCTAACTACATATCTATTGATATATGACTTTTGTATGTGCAAGATTTTTTTTTTCTTTATCTTAATGCATATATATAGATTTATATTATATGTATATATTTGCTTCCAGTATACGTTTAGTTTGACTGTAGTCAGTCAACTAAGTCAAACAACACATCCACTTCACTTTTCTCTTCTTTAGAATCCACTTTTACGCACATGAATGCATGCATGCATATATAAATACGGGTCAATAGAATTGTGCCACTTGTCAATGTACAAACGCTTCAAGGTGTTATCCTTTTGTGCATATTTGTGTGTTTGTATCGAGTACATACAGTCGGATTCAGTCAAGCATCTCTCATGTACTTAAAGTTGATCGTCAGATCATCATCGTCTTTTTTTTTTATACCTTTCGGGAGAAGATGCATGCTTATAACTAATGATCAAGTTAAAATTTTGAAACGAATGTCATTTGTTTGTATAAGATTCTTTTTTTCTTTGACTTCTTTTATTTTTTATATTTGCAACAATAACAAATAATTGAAGTTGCGTGATTACCTTCTATACAAAAAAAAAATCGCGTTAAAAGAATGTCAAACAAGGTCATAAGAATATCTCTATTCGTCACATTTATATTCATCATTTAAATATGGCACCAAAATGAAGAAAAGAACTCAAAATTGAATGGGTTATCTTTCGCACTTGATAGAGCAAAACGAGCGTCTTGTTCATTTAAATCGATAAGACAAAAAAAAATTGAAAAAGAACAGTCGCTGTCTGCATTTCTAACTACTTAATATGAAAATGTATCCCACTGTTCAATTTCGCATGGCTAGTAGTGGTAATCAAGTATCAATCATAAATTCGTAAAAGATAAATTTTGTTTCGCTCTCTCTCTCTCTTAACAGTAATCATGGACAAAAGGCGTTATTCTTTTTTCACTTTTCAATAGTGACTTACGTATGTTGTACTCGAATATAGACAAGCTCCACCGAAAAAAAAACCACAACTTGTTTTCAACTGCACGCGATAGATGTGAAATAAATCTTAACAATGATATTTTATCATCTACTCTCGTCTTTTTGTTCTTTAGTTACTTTATACAACCACAAAAAAAAGAAAAGTAATTTTGAAAAAGAAGAATTAAAACATACTGATATGATTGTTGTTATTATTCTTTTCTTCTTCTTTTTTTTTGTTCTTACTTCATCTCATTATCTTACCTACGAAATGATATCATGATTTCTCTTTTCTTCTTTTGTCACAAAATATAAAGAAACAAAAAAAAAAAGAATCTTTCGAAAAAAAAAATATATACAATAGTTTATAAATCGTTGAATAAATGTGGAATTTCTATTCGCACATGAATGTAATAATACACACGAACTAGTCAAATCTTGAGTAGCAATAAAAAAGAAGAACGCGATCATAAAAATAAAAAACAATTTAGTAACTTACTGACTTGATTTATATATTTGTAGATTTCACAAATTTAGATTCTGCTTCACTTTTGTTTTAGATATTCGAAAGAAAAATAGAGAATAATATGATAATGGCTATGATATTCATTGATATGTCGTTTTCTTCTTCTTCTTCTTAGTTCTTTTTTTTTCAATACAAAACGATCAATATAAGCATGCGTATGAGAGTATAGAAGAGAAAGAGAGAAGTATAAATTTCAATCGACTCGTATATGTATGTATATGTATATATATTATATGTGCTACGTGTGCAGCTTGTATGTAATTTGATGCTGTTCGAAGTAAATGCAAGGAAATCTTAACGAATTTGGATTGATGTATATGAATGTAAGGAGAAGAAGAAGAAGAAGA